ATTGGTGCTGACCGGGTCCGAACCCGCTTAGCCCTCAACTACTACCTACGGTTTTATATGTTGTAATGCGTACTTTACATACTTTTATAATGATGTGAAACATAAATTATTGTAATCTTTGTGCGTTTCAAAATTTCTTAAAATTTATTTTTAGTTTTTATGTTAAATTTTCATTTCAATTTATTTTTACTTACGTTATGAAGTGGAGAAAAGTATGCTTGCTTCCGTGAAGCGAGCATTGAGGATTCTTTTCTCCATTTCTTTTGACGCTTTTACGATGCTCGTGTATTACAAAAAATATTCTGTACGTACACTAGAGATGTACAAGTCTTTTCAAAAAATGTTGCTTAAATATTGCATAGTAAATTTTACAATAATTATACAGTATGGTTGTTTATTGACAAGTAAAACCATGCGTGTTTTGACACATTATTAAGTTTATGATGTAATGTTTTTCTAACATAACGAGTAACGATGGTGTGGCGCAGAAATATTTTTTTTAAATAAAACGGAAAAGCCGACTTTAAAGAACTAAAAACAATAAAATAAATTGAAATTCTGCATTCAGTGCTAAACCATAGTGTTACAGATTAACTAACAGTGACTGCGTAAATAGTGTACAGGAAAATAAGCCTCCAATTGTTTATAAACTTCTAACATTTAATTTAGTTGTCATTAGACTTTTTTTCGTTCAGAAATACAATAATATAAGTGTGACAAGTCAAAAGGTCGAAACAATTTTAGGCTACAGACCTGAAGTCTGGCGTAAGAGAGATGTTTATACCACCTGTATCGGAAGCTGTAACTTTTTGACGTGAAACGTTGATTGGCGCAACATGGCAGTAAAACCGATTCGTATGCCTCTCTTATGCCGTCATGCTCACTCTAAGCCACCGCTCCCGACTCCCTTGTGTCTGCATGGTGCATGTGCGCGTATACTATACAATTATTGTTTCTCTCTGTGGGCTGTGTACTGCGTATGCCTTTGTATTTTTTATTTTATTTGATTATCATAATTTATAAATTCTACCATCAACTATGATGTTTTCCTGGCTTTTGACGTAGGCACCTGTTACGACAGCCACTCGAAGGAATGGGATGATGGGTTTTCTTACACTACCATCACATGCATAGGTTATCGATATATTCTTTTCACTCTTTCTTAACCTATTACTGGATATAGCCTTTTAAAGAATACACCAACTTGCAAAAATAACTTAAAGTAAAGTAAAATTTTAAAAGATAAAATCAGCGTAAAATAGCAGCTTGATGCTGCTTTGTTTTGTATTGTGTGTTAAGAATTGGGGACCCTTTTTAATGGAAACGAGGTATTATATCTTGGTCAAGAGTGACAACGAATCTGCATTTTTATTCTTAATCGAGGATAAATGTAGACCTTTAGGCCACAGCATCCACTTGTTGTTGTTGTGGAATTTAATTTAGATATTTTTACCATTTTTCGATCGTCAAAGCCTCTTTCATTAACCAGCAATGAGCATTATGAGGTAGGCATCTGAAGAGCAAGGTGGCAAATCTTTTCATACCTTTCTTTTTCTTTTTTTAAAAAAATAAAACGTTACCCTTACACTAGGATTTTCTCCTGTATATAAACACCTGATACATATCTTATAATTTTTTTTAAATTTATTTGAGAAAAATCTGTGGGCATATACGACAATCGCCTTGGGCTGTAGAAAAGTTAGTTTAGATTCAGCGCCCTTCGGGCCACTTCCCGCGAATTCCATAGACTTCGCCGACAGTAGCTACGGGAATCCTCGAGAATTCCCCGGAAGACGCGCGACTTCTATTTTGGCTCATATCTAGTTTGTACGTTACATAATTAACATAAGACTCATTTTACTATGTACAATTTCCTTACGAAAATTCGCTTCTTTCCTTTCCGTAGCAGTGTAAATTAAGGTTTATTTTTGGATGTATGTCGCTTAATCACGCTTAAACGGTAAAAAAAAACCATTGAGAAAGACACTGAAACTTTGCAGAGTGGTAAAACTTTATAAAGAGGTAAATTCTCGTATGGTATACAACATACCGTTTGACAGCGGTGTAAGAATATCCGTTATCCCTTATTGTACCGTGGATGTCGTTGGAGTTGACGGAGAGAAACAAACCGGATAAGTAGCAACTACTTCCTACTAACGACTATGCCAATAAAACTTCGGGTTCCAACCACTCTGCCAAGCGGAGTAACCTTGGAAAATATTCTCCCACAGATATAATGAGTAAATTATGACAAATGACATTCAATATTTTTTGTCCCGATTCTGGACAAAGATATCATAAACAAAACCACGAACGAAGCAGTATTATATGTTTCTAGGGACAGACTCAAACTATGCGTGTCAGAATAAAATTATCTCAGGAGTTCCGAATTTTATAAAATGATGAAGAAATAAAAACTGTGAAAGTCTTGTTTACGGTTAACCCTCTCCGGTTCCAGTTCCAGTACTCAGAGTATAACATGTGAAAAAAGTAAATTGTAAAAATAAACTATAGTAGTTATCACATTGCGAGTTAATATTTTTAAATGTCCTTAGGTTATGCTATCGATCTGGTAATTATTCTAAAAAATACACTTCAGTGAAACCTGCATTGACTTAAATAAAACTGGTAGTATTTTTTATATGGGATTATTTAAAGTAAATTAATTATATAAATCTATTTTAAGGTGTTTAATTGAAATAATATATAACGTATAAGAAGAAATAAAAATAATTTGTAATATATTTATCATTCTTACATAGTTGTATTTCAAGTAAATGATCATTGTATGGCGTTAATTTTATTTCGTAATTTAAACCTTTTATGCTCTCTATAAACAAATAATATGTAGAAACATATTGTTTTCACATATTATTTGTTTGTTGATTGCTGTTTGTATCGGACTTTATTTTATATATTTTTTAATTTTAATGTCATAATCAGTAAGTTTTAATTATTTGTGCGTGCCGTTGTTATTAATTAAGGATTGAAATTATGTTATTTTTTTAAGTACTTTTTGTACAATACCGATAGAATGGAAAGTCTAAAGTCTAGTCTAGGGGTTTAAAAGAGAAGCTGAGTCTGCCCTATGCATCCTTCTTTATGAGAATACAAAGTGAAGATTGATCTATCCTAAAATATATAAATATTTAGTTATAAAAAACCTACGAGTATTTGGATCGAAATATGTGGTGATTGTGAATTGTAAAGATGTCAATTTGTAGTCTTTGTGTGTATAGACATAAAAATAAGTATAAAACTGTCAAAAATATATCAAAAATATTTATGATTTGAAAGTGAATTTAAATTATATTGACATACGACTCAGTTTGTAACAACAATAATACAAAGTAAAAGTGATCAATAAATTGAAACAACCCTAAAACTGAACAAAATATGTGTGTGGTCAAAGTATCTGGTAGCGAATAGCATATCCTAAGATCGAATCTCACACATTAAAAATTCTTGTAGAAATACAAGATTTTGAATGTTTTGATTATTATACGTGTATGTCTCTAACGCAGCGTCTAAATTACCTTCGATTTTATTGCTTATGTGTTGCCTATTGGGGTCAGCACAAGTCAATGCATCAACTCGTGTAGGTCAATTTTGGGATTATAATACCTCCTGCTTGGATAGTAACTTGCGGAGATATTTTTTAGAAGTAAGAGTTTCTGTGTAGTCATGTGCAAGAATATCCACTACTTTATATCATTTCATGTGTGTCGCAAGAGGCGACAAAGGAAAATCAGGATATGGCCAGCGGCATAGACCTAATAACGCCCAAAAACAAAAACTTCGGTTGCCAACCCGCTTGCCAAGTGTGGCAACTACGGCAAATACCCCCTTATCCAATATGGGGGGGGATAGGGGGCCACATCTAAGGAAACCACACTTAAGGGATGGTCTTAGTAAAAATGCTTTATTTTTTACTCAATAACGTATATATTCAGCAGTGGAGTTTAATAGGCTGTAACAGTAACGGTAAGGGTGACAAAGGAACATACAGTCCATCTGATGGTGGATCTTATAGCCTAGAGACACTAACATACATCCTCGATTGAGATCTAAAATGCCGATCGCTATCACGCCTAAAGACTAATATGGACTAAACTCGTGAACCATATTATCAAAGTAAAAGACTCAAGCAAAGCCTTGTTACCGTTACAAATAAAAAATCTGAACCTAGCAAAATAATATGTTCATTATTTTCGCTGATTGACAGGTTGCACTTTTTTACATGAACATACAGTTCCTGCTTTGAACTTACGAGTACAATAAAATAAACTATGAATCTTGCAGGTAGACGTAAATTTAAAAATAAATTTCTTCAAGGTTTGTATTTTAGAGATAGTGTTCATTAATTTATGCAAAATTGATATCATAATAGATATCTATAAATAAATTTTATTAAATTTATCGATAATTGTATTTCTTCACTCCTCGTAATTCGTATTACTTCGGATTTCATATTTCATTACGCTGTAATTAGGTAGGGTATTGTTTTATAGCTTGTGTAAATTTTTTTCTGTATATTAGAAGGTCTTTCGGGATTGATACCACTCTTCTACTTAAGTACTTAACTTAGGCAAATACTTAAGCAGCAATACATCGTCAACTCTAAGAAAAATCTGTAACTTTAATCTATATTGATATACGGGTAATTTAGTAATTAGGTCATCCATTTCAAAAAGCCTATACTTAGTATAATAAATTGTCATTTATATTTTATTATATTTTTACACTGTCTATTTATTTTTAAAATAAATGCATTAGAATTCAAGTATGTGTTTTTCTCGATATTTCATATTCATATTATACTTTTTGTCATTACGTAAAATTTATGAATTGGGCTGAGGAATTGGGGTAATCAATTTGTAGTAAAATATATGAATTTGATTAGTTGTTGTGCAAATAATTGCAAGTATCCCTTAGAGTTATGTTAATCTAAATATTGATTATTTTAATGAATCAATTATTTTAATTAACATTATATTTACCGTATATTTGTGAATCCTCGCATTGTCATGCTCGAAGTGCCCCTTCTGTTTTATATTCACAATGCTTCTCGCACTTGTAACAGCCATATTGAACGCGTAAATTTATTTATTTATTATGTACTTATGCAAAAAAATAAAACTGCGCTATTCTCTAAGATCTGTCACTTTGCGCGCGAATTGAACACGGCTCTCGCGTGCTCCCCGATAGGACCGCGTCGAGATTCCAAGTTGCAATGGTTGCGAAATGGCACGATTCTTTATATAAAAGCTGTATGGAGCAGAACTCGCCCCCTCGCTCCTGCTTCCTTTCATTTGAAATAACTTTATAGAACGCAATTTGGACTGCGCGTTTGTGACCTATTTTAATTATTTTTTTGTACTTACAGCTTTTATGACTCGGTCGTTAATTAGGATAAAGTAAAAAATATTCCTATATTGAGAAATTTTTCTCTCAAACAATATAAATATACATAGCCTATATTTTTAATATATACAAATTACATGTCACGTTGTTTGTCCGCGATGGACTCCTAAACTACTTAACCAATTTTAATCAAATTTGCACATCGTATGCAGTTTGGTCCAACTTGAGAGATATTATAGTTTTTTTGCTCAGTGACCCCCAATTTTTTTTCGTGTTTACAGATTTTTAATAGGACATGAGAAAGGGACGTCGAAAAGGGTAGAACAACATCTGCCTCGCAAGCTAATAAACTATATATACCTAGATGAACTACCACAAGTGATATTTTCTACAAGGATAACGTTCATTCTTTGTGTATTTTAAACGTAGAGATACAATTTTATATAATCATCGTTATCATATAGCCTGCCTCGTTGGTCTAGTGGTTGTAGTAGTGCGACTTCTGATCATGAGGTCCTGGATTCGAATCCCGGGTCAGGCCAAAAAATTAATTATTGAGTTTTTCCGTCAAGAAATTCTCAGTGGTTGTCCGGAGTCAGGAAGTTGGCGGTGTTTCTACCCCGTGCCTCGGAAAACGCGTAAAGCCGTTGGTCCTGCGCCTGATCTCTCTCCGGTCGTGTCGGTTTACCGTCCCATCGGAATTATGAGAGTGAGGGAATAGAGAGTGCCTGTTGTACCTGTGCTTGCGCATACACTTGGGCACTATAATCCTGTCCTGCGCCGATGGCTACCTAGGCCGCCGTGGCCTGAATTCGGTCTGGAAGACATTATTATTACTATTAGTATATTATTATAGTGTCCAATTCGGAACATAGACCTCTCCTATAGATTGCCTCACTGAGGGGATGTTTTTCATAGTTGCAATGGTTGGCAGGGAGGTTGGCAACTGCAGTTTTTTGTCTCAGTGTTATCAGTAGGATGCTGCTGTTTCACTCTAATGACGATTAAGACACTCAAGGGACGATATGAAGGGGTGAATTCTCGTACGCCACTACACGGCGAATTATACATTATATGGAATTAAATTGTATTTCAATTTTATATATTATATGAAGAATATTAAATTAAAAATTCTAACTTCTGACTCTTGCATCAATAAGATTTGATTATTTCGATTATAAGCAGCGTATAAATATAGCTAGGCTTAGGTAGGTGCAGTTAGCGTCAGAAAGATGAAAGCAGTGAAAGTATTTAAAATTTTGTCACAACTAAAATGATCATATTGACTATACCAGTAGCGAAATTACTGGGAACATCAATTTTGCTCAAATATTTCGAAACACGTACAACATAAAATATATGAGATCATTTAAGTCGTTTAAAATTATAGTAACAAACAGACCACCAGTGGTATAAGCAGCTAAAGTAAAAGTATGTTATGGGTAAGAAAAAATTTTGTACCCATAACATAGGGTTGAATTTTGAAAGGTTTTTAAATCCAAATTGTACGCTGAACAATACCATCAACAAAATAATCGATATTTTCTTTTATCGAAATTATAACATTTTTATTTTTATTAAACTGGTTAAAAGCAGTGTAGTGGTAAAGTGATAATATTTACTACCTCGTATTGTCCCGTGGGTGTCGTAAGAGATGACAGGGACGAAACAGAAAGAAAAGATGGAAAGCGGCATCTTCCTGGTAACCACTTAAAATTATTTTTTTAATAATTTTAAGTTTTTTTAAACTGCGGTCGCCAAGCCTTTCTAACGTAGCAACTAGACAACATTATCCTTATGAGACAATCTGTAAGGGAGGCCTATATTGAACCGTGGACTTCCGATAGGCTGTAACGGATGGATGGATGACAGAAAAAGTATATTTCTTTGAAATAAAGTTGGTTTTAAAATTTAGACTTTGATATTGATGAAACTTCAGTTTCGTCTAAAGTAAGAGCTAAATAATTCCGTTAATTTGGATTCATAAAACAATGTGCCTTTGCTTTGCTTTGACGTTGATGAAAACACAGATTCAGTGGGGAAAATGACATTTATATTTTTTATAAATGTTTTATTTAAATACTTTGATTATTCTATTATGTCATATCCGAGGAGCTGTTTATGTGTTAAACGCTTTATCTTATTAAAATATAGGTAGAAAAGACGTCCCCACCCGTTACCGGGAAAAATAATACCATCCCATTTAGTAGAAGAAAATTCCGTTTGCCAGTTTCAATTGCAAAAATAATTGAGAAATGTAATACAAATTACGAAAACTACTGTTTAACTGAATAAAACACACTTTTCTGATATCATTCTGATATCAAAATTTGATGCTATTAAAAAATATCAGTTCTACATTTGTATGTAATTTGCAAAAAAAAAAAACGATTTTTGTATGAATTGTTTTTTGTAGATCATAATAATAATGTCATCCAAATCGAATTTTGGCCACGGCGGCCTGCCTCAACGGAGGCTAGCCATCGGTGCAGGACAGGATTATAGTGCCCAAGTGCAGGTGCACTCACTATTCCCTCACTCTCATAATCCGATGGGACGGTAAAACAGACACGACCGGAGAGAGATCAGGCGCAAGACCGATGAGTGTGATCGATGGTGACGGTGATAGGTGATCACAGTAATTTCTATTCAATTTATCCGTTTTTATAAAACTGGATTGATAATTAAACTAAAAGTCCACCTGATGGTAGGTGCCTGCTGCTGCAAGTAGACACTTGCAACCATCTTCAAATACTTACCTCTGAGGACTAAGAAACCATGTTGCAGCACAAATCGGTTGATTAGACAGGGCTAGGACTGTGCTCTTACAGAATGCTAGCGTGAAACAGCAGAGTACTAGTGCTAGAGAATTCGCGACCCTTTTTACTGGTAACCGTCATTGCATGTTAGTCTTCAAGGGTGACTACACCAGATTTGCATTTTGATGCTTAATCGAGGATACTCACTCCTCACCATAATCAAAATGCAGATGCGTTATCACCCCTGAGGACTCCTATGGAATTCTTCGTTTTCAGTCACATTTTTTTACATTTAAAATACATTTTTGCAAAGCAAAAGGTATGAGCGAAGCTATATATAACAGTGCCACGAAATATATAATATTTTATTTAATATCCTTGTTAATATATACATAATATAAATATATTTAGCGTATTTACGGCAACCTTGATTTATGCGATTTCGACGCTCACTAGTAAAACAGCTCTCGTCACTTCGAGAGTGTTCTGGAAAATCCTGCTGACTTGATTTTTTTTTCGGGCAAGGACGTATTCGGTTGAGTGTAACTTTCATACACTCAATGTCTTTTAATAACACTTATTTTAACGAATTCGATAAGATTGCGCCCACTTGTTTTTTTTTTTTTTAATAGAATAGGCTGACAAACGAGCACACAGTCCACCTGATGGTAAGTGGTTGCTGCGGCCCATAGACATCTACATCTATCTTCCATTACAAATCAAAATGCAGATGCGTTGTCACCCGTGAGGACTGAGATGGAATGCCTCATTTTCAGTAAAAAGGGTATCCGGTTCTCTACACTCACCATACGAAATACAGCAGCATTAAGCTACTATTTCACGCTGGTATTCAAATTTTTTATTTGTTAGTAATAAACCTTTACCGTTACAAGCAATTAAAGTCCACTGCTGAACATAGGCCTCGTCCTTAGATCGCCTCACAGTGGGGATATTTGGTTTAGTTGCCACTCAAGCGGGTTGGATTAGGAATACGCCGCTGCCCATCTCCTGATCTGATTCCCTCTGTCGACTCTTACGACACCCACGGGATGATGTGGGGTGGTGCATATACTTACACCACCACTGCACGGTGTTGTTATATAAAATACAGTTAATATATAATGGTTAGTAATATAAAAAACAGATAATTTACATAAATTTGTTTGTTTCTGTACAAGACATTTTATCTACTTAGTGTTGCGGCATTGTGTCTTTCGGTACTTAATTTCGAACGATTAAGAGGGAGCAGTACCCTAGTCGAGTGAAAGGTAGATTTAATTAAGACACCAGGTGTGAATGTGTTTATCTGTTTAGTGCATTTCGCTAGCGTTTACTACTGTAGTCTTATAAACAATTAACTGCCCTGTGTTATGTCATAGGTACTATTGTTGTGTTGTATACTATTTACTTTATATTATAAGTCCTCTATACTCCTATATTGTTATTACTATTCCTATATTGTTTATTTACTTTGAAACTAAATTATATTGTCTAACACTTAATTTCTTGGTTGTCTGAAGAATTGCTGCATAGACGAGACTTTTTTTTTTTTTTTTTAGTGCTTAGTGTTAGGGTATATCTTAGAAACCAAACTGATTAGATTGTAATATTTAAATACCAGTGTTAGTTGTTTCAAAGTTTACCATTCTTAATTGTATCTTAGAATAAGTTAACGATAAAAACAAGCAAGTATAATGTTGTTCCTTTATCTCTACCCCCACCTCCTAGCTTACTACGATTCTACACTATATAAACCAAATTCTTCGATCACCCCACAACATTGCGCCCTCCTTTCTGCCTGCGCCCTCCTTTCTTCCAAGGAGGGTCACGTCCGTCTACGGCTTAAAGATCTCTAGTCAGATCGGTAAACCAATCCCTTAAGGCAGTGTTTAGTGGCTAAAAGTCTCCACATAACCACGCAGCCGGCTACGTGGTAGCTATGAGCATTCACTGCCTCCCTCCCC